AATAATAATAATAATAATAATAATAATAATAATAATAATAATAATAAATAAAAAGTAGCCATAGGATGAAGAACATGTCAGCTGTACAATCCTGGCTGCAGCTCGAAGGTATAACCACGTTTTAGTGGAATAATCTGAAGTCACGGCTCCAGACGGTCCTGGCCAATGAATATTTAATGCAGCTTGCTAAAGTTGTATTTGTAGCACCTTCAGCTGATCTTTAATTGGTACACTCAAGTAGCTTGCATACAGGATTGGATTGAAAATGAGCCAAACTCTGATTATTCAGTGATATTGTGAACTAAAGCTGCTCAGATCAGCTCCACACACTGAAGGCAGCTGTAACAATAGCTGTAAGAGTCAGCAGTAATAAATTTGGTAGGAAATTAAAATATGTCGAGTAGTTCAGTTTATAATTTTCAGTTATTTACGTCTTGCTTCTTACTTGTTCCATATTTCTTAATATCCACTGAAGGAAACGGCAAATTCAAGAAAAGCACACAAAATATACATATACGGGTATATCAATAATGTAAATGGTTGTAGAACCACAGTTTTCCATCCATCCATCCATCCATCCATCCATCCATCCATCCATCCATCCATCCATCTATCCATCCATCCATCCATCCATCCATCCATCCATGAATCCATCCATCCATCCATCCATCCATCCATCCATCCATCCATCCATCCATCCATCCATCCATCCATCCATTATCTTTATCTGTTTCTTCCTTTTCGGGTTGCGGGGGTCACGGGTGCCCATGTCCATCTATCACTGTGTGAGAGGCAGAGTCTATGTGGCGATGTGATGGAACCACAACTAAAACATGAACAATAATCTGTAAGAATAATGAAATTACCAGTAGTCGGAAAAATTACAACACAATAGTGAAATAAGGTTAAAGCTTAGGATGGCAGAAATTGTGTCTAAAGGTTGCCATATTTTATTAGTTTGCATAAAATGAAGACGTTTTCTTTACTATTAGTTTCACAAAGCCGTAACATGTCGTACACTACACTGACATGTTTGTTTTAACAGTTTTCCCTCTGATTTATATATGTGCTTGAGTGTGTCGTAATTAAACTCATAGTTTGTATTAGCTGTCCATGTAATGTCGAAAAGCATCACAACTGAGGCCAAAACTGGGAGCGGTCCCACATGTTTCAGTCCTTCTCCAAAGCTAAAATGAAATAATTGGGCTCATAATTAAAAGCCATTACAGACTTTTACACATTATGTCTATATAATGTTGCATACCCTTACAGTGCTGTGTATGCTGTAAGATAAAACCAAGAGTGATCCATAAAATATAACAAGTTAAAGATGATGTTTTAGAAACAAATGTTTTTTGGATGCAAGGTTTGCTTCAAAAGATTATTTACCTGTCTAAAAATAAAGATAGAAGCTGCTCCGAGGCCTCTTTGTTTCAAGTCCTTTGATCCACCTCTTTAAAGGTAACTTTTTCATTAAAATCCCTTCTTTTTTTTTACCAGAAAGTCAATCATTTGGTGCCTTGAGGTTTTCACACTTATCTGACATTGATGTTTCAGTATTTTTTCACCTTGCTGTGGCCTCTCAACCTCGATTCTGATCAAACACTCACATCTCTTTGGCTTCATTAAGTGATATAAAGATGCTGTAAGGTTTTGTACAAGTCCCCAGTCTCTATTTGTTATCTGTGAAAGAATGATGTGCAAAATGCTACTTTTTAGACTTTTGTTGATTCCATTCAGCTTGTTAACATCAATCCACAACAAGTCATCTCTTGACACTTCCTGTTTAGTTTATTTGTGCATCTTTTTGTTAGGTTTTGTCACAGCCTATAAATATTTAATAAAGTATTTTTGAATTGAATTGAATTGAATAACAGCCTTAATTATGAAATGAATGGTAAACTGGATGTATGAAGCGTCTCTATCAATATCTATGAAGAGCAAGTCTGACACTAATAAACGTTAAACATGAACTAGAGCTTTAGTTGTTCTAACAGCACCTAAAACATTATGATTTGATTGAACAGCACTCTTTGTGCTGATTGATACTCCTTTTTTCTTTATCAAACTCTTGCAATTCCTGTGGGAATTCAGCAGTGTTTTATTTTAATAGAGTATTTTTTCCAACAAAACATCTTCATGAGGAAGTCGAAGGATGGAAGAGATGCAACAAAGTTAAGTCAGGTCTTCTGGACGGTTAATTTGCGTTGAGATGTTTCGTCTTTCATCCAAAAAAACTCCATCAGTCTGAGGAGCTGCAACAACTCAGTCTCATAAGTGGCTTTCTCACATAGTGGGTCAACCAGTTTTATGATGATAAGATGGTTTCTGGAGTCCTCCCTCTCTCTCGTCAAATCCTCTGAGGCAGCCATAGCCAAAGTGGTTCAAAACATCTAAGTTCATGCTCAATAATCCAGGTAAAATATCCTGAGTGTGTTGTGGCTCCACAGACAGATGAAGACTTTTGGATGGAAGATGAAACATTACAATAACCGTATTTTCATTTTGTCATTATGTTGACCTCGGATAACTGGTCTCTGATATCAGCTTTGTCTAAAACTGTGGTACCGTCTAGAGATACAAAAAGTGCATTTTTAATTGCGTTCATTGTATAAGTTTAACTATAAATAGGCTATTTGTTTTCAATAATGTATCATAAGTCTGCCGGTCAGTTAGACTTTTCAAGGAATTTGGTATAATAATCTTGTCTTTACCATCATATTGATAGTGATAGAGAGGTAAAAGCATTCTGAGGTAGTGTAAAAACTGTTAAAACCTCTTGTATAAACCGCACATGGTATTTTCATCACCATTTCCTTTCACGAGTCATTTACAGTCATGTCAGACACAAACTGACCCAATATTTGCATGAGTCCTTCCTGGATACGGAGTCCTAATCCAAAAATTGTGTTCTTTTTTTCTTGCCAGTTTTACAAAATACGATCTCGATTTACACCAAAACCTAGTGCGCTATTCTTCTGCCAACGTCCCATAAAATGTAACCTTGTGGGTTTTATCTGAATTTGCTTCAAAACACCTTATGTTTAGGAAGGAAAAAGTGGGAAATAAATGAATCTGTTCACAATAAAACCAACTGAAATGACTTGTGGAAGTCAGAAGAGCAGATCCACAAATCAAAGGTACCTTCAATGCGTCATAATGAAGTAAAGTCGAGGCTGGTACTTAGGCTGATCTAATTGTCACAATGAAATTAAACAGACAACGCGCTTTTCCCACTATTCATTAGAGTCGATTGTGATGCATTTGTGTTACGACGTTCCTGAAAACCGTCACAGCTTTGTTTTATGTGTATACTTGACATAAAATTTCAAATCACGCCTCCTGAAACAGGCGTAAAGATTTCTCTCAGTAGTGGAGGCCACCGAGTCAGGTTTCTGCACACTCCTGTGCCCTTTTTTGTCAAATCTAATTCCCCAGTTTTCTTGACAGCCGTCTTTGAGATGCAGCAGACAAGAAACCCTAGTGGAGGGGGAAGGCTGGCTAGCTTCCTCAGATAAATACACAATCAATACTGGGATGAATTAATAATGAATGATGTAGAACAATAAGTCTGCACGAGCCACGTGTTTACTTCCTGTTCAAGATGATGATGTTGCAAGAACACAAGGTGACTTCTTGTGACTTTTTTCATGAGGAAATAGTCTTGAACCAACCATAAAGAGGTCTTGATCAAAACATCTTCAGATTTTCTGAAAGGATTTCAGAATGCTTGTTTTTTAACTTCGGAAGCAGCAGATTAACAGTCTCTGAAAGTAATGCATTTAGTTAAAAGAAAAAAAATACTACAAAGATTTCACAGAAAACCTGAAAGACGCATCATCCTCCAGTCGCAATTCTTAAAACTATTCTAGAAGCTAACATGCTATTATCTGTCAGGTTGTGTTATTGCTTTTGTATTTTTTTCATTAATTCAACAAAAGAAACAAGAAGTCTTTGCTACGGACTGTCAGCTACAAAGAAAATTAAGATATAAGTATTTTGTTTTGTGTGAAATAACGTTAATTTATCTTTTGAGCTTAGGATCGTATCTGAGTCTGAACGCTTCATAGATTCAATTTAAGTGGCTTAATAAACACAAGAATATATTAATCTCAAAATGATCAGGTGGACTAAAAAAGCGAGGAAAAATTGAAAAACCATCAATAATTCAGAGGAATTGTTAGGCAAGAGCATTTTAAAAGGACAGAAGAAAGTCTGGCTGCTTGGCAGTAATGTAGAACAAGGAATGAATAAATCAGGGGCAATTCTAGAATCGCCTTTTAGGGGCGCTTAGCCCCCAGTGCTAACAATGGGTCTTGGCTTGAACAGCATGGTGGCCACTGGCATCAGAAGCATTCATAATGTGGAGGGACACACTGGTGGGGGAGTCTGGGGGTCCTCCCTCAGAAAATTTTGAATAAAGTAGATGTCATTTCCTGCATGTTGGTGTATTTTAACGGGTTGTTAAACATCTACATTTACCTAAATAAGTAAACACTTGATTCAGTAACTATTTTAGAGAGCTTGGCACAAAAAGAAGTAACACTAATAATAA